GATTTAAAAGTCACTATCATTGAACAAAAAAACTTCAGAAACAGACTTCAAAGAGAAACAGCAGAACTAAAATTCATTTGCAAATTTAACAGCATTAATCTGGGCTTGAATAGGGACTGGGAGTGGCTGGCTCATTACAGAAGCAGCTTTTCCTCTCCTGGAATTGACACCTCCTCATCTATTATTGGGAGTGGACTACATCCACCCTGATCGAATTGGCCCTGTCAACACTGGTTTTCCACTTGCGAAGTAACTCCTCCCTGCTCTCCATGTGTCAGTATATAATGCCTGCATCTGTAACTTTCACTCTATGCATCTGAAGAAGTGAGGTTTTTACCCACGAAAGCTTATGCCCAAATAAATCTGTTAGTCTTTAAGGTGCCACCAGACTCCTTGTTGTTCTGATTAACATAGTTACCACATCATTATTAAACAACATACCAACATTCTTATAAACTGAACAGTCTCTATCTCCATCATTGCTGTAGAGAGGAGCTGAGCTTCCAGGATAACACAGTACAGGTCTGTCGCATCTTACACGCATTTAACATGCGCGATTTCAACTTTACGCGGTCGGCAAAAACCAAAAAAAAAGAGAAAAACTGTTTTAATACTATACCTGTAGTGCGGGCGATTTCGCCCGCCATTGAACTCAATGGGGTTTTGGCTATACGCGGTTTTCGCTTTACGCGCTAACCGCGAAACAGAACCCCTGCGTAAGATGAGACAGACCTGTACCTGCTGTTCTTTTATTATTTTGATTTGGAGTTTAAGTCTGGCAACATTGGTCTCAGCTTGCAGCAGATCCATTCGCCTCCTGTGAGATTTTCTCTCTCCAGTTTGCTTAGTTCTTTCCTCAGCTCGCCTGGCTCTCTCCTCAGCTTCTTTTTCCAGCTGGGCCAAGGCTTGCTTCTCTTGCATTCGAAGTTCTCCCATTTCTTTCTCATGCTGAAGACGCTGGCTCTCTCTCGGGGCTTGCAGTTTTGATTGTGGATCACTCGTTGTGACTAACCTTAACTTTTGACACTCTGTTTTAAATTTCAGATTTGGAATAGCATGGGGTTCTGATCCAAAACCCAAATGATCTGGTTCTGTGTTAACTACACCAAAGTGACCTGTGGTGCTTGGGGCAGCCCTCACTGGAAATGCTAAGGTCAGGGCAGGCTGCAAAAGGGAGTTTAACTTCAGTGTTACCCACAGACTGGTGGGTAACACTGAAGTTAAACTCCCCAACCAGTCATAAACTGTGCTTCTGATTCCCCACACTGGTTATCAAGAAGCAAAAAAGAAATCACATAGCTCCCTTTATTGCATTTCAATTCTCTGGCTCCCAGTCAGCACCTAGGTCCAGTACTGTGAGAACTTATTTAAAAAACAAAACACAAAACTGCTCACATATACAAAATGTTCTGACCCCAAAGGGTCAGCCACATTACCAGGTCCATATAGGTTTGGATCTTACCCAAAATACTATGCTGCCAGCCAATCCTTCAGTGTCTAAAACTAAAGGTTTATAATAAAGGGAGGAAAAAAAAACTATTTGGCTTCACAACATCCCTGGCAACAAAACTATAATGGGGTTCAAAAGAGAATTAGATAAGACCATGGAGGATAGGTCCACCAATGGCTATTAGCCAAAATGGTCACTGACACAACCCCATGCTCTGGATGTCCCTAAGCCTCTGACTGCCAGAAGCTGGGACTGGACAACAGGGGATAGATCACTGGATAATTGCTCTGTTCTGTTAATTTCCTCTGAAGCAGTGGTCTCGAACCTTTTTACACACAAGATCGCTTTTTGAATTTAAGATCAACCCAGGATCTACCCTTCCCCTTCCCCAAGGCCCTGCCCTCCTGACTCCATTCCTCCCTTCCTCCGTCGCTTGCTCTCCCACGCCCTCACTCACTTTCACTGGGATGGGCCAGGGGGTTGGGGTGCCGGAGGGGGTGCGGGCTCGGGCCAAGGGGTTCGGAGTGGGGGAGAGGGCTCCAGGCTGAGCCTGTGGCAGGGGGTTGGCGTGCAGGAGGGGGTGAGGGGTGCAAGCTCTAGGAGGGAGTTTGGGTGCAGGAGGGGGCTCCAGGCTGGGACAGGGGTTGGGGTGCGGAAGGGGGTGAGGGGTGCAAGCTCTGGGACGGAGTTTGGATGCAGGCTCTGGGCTGGGATAGGGGGTTGCAGTGCAGGAGGGGGTGTGAGGTATAGGCTCCGGCTGGGAGGCACTTACCACAGGCGGCTCCCGGTTGGCAGTGCAGCAGGGCTAAGGCATGCTCCTGCCTGCCCTGGCCCTGCGCTGCTCCCGGAAGCGGCTGGCATGTCTTTGTGATCCGGGGGGGAAAGGCAGCTCCATGCGCTGCTGCTGCCCCCACCCCTGGTGCCGACTCTGCAGCTCCCATTGGCCAGGAACTGCAGCCAACGGGCGCTCCCCCCCCCCCCCCCCCCCGGGCTGCAAGCACCGCCCCCGCAGCTCCCATTGGCCACAGTTCCCGGCCAATGGAAGCTGCGGTGTCGACGCTGGGAGAGGGGGCAGGACGTGGAGCCACCTGCTCTTTCCCCCCCCCCGGTCCACAGAGACACGTCAGCCGCTTCCGGGAGCGGTTGGGGACCAGGGCAGACAGGGAGCCTGCCTTAGATGTGCTGCGCCACTGGACTTCTAGTGGCTGGAGATCACAATTGACTGGCAGAGGCTCCAGGATCGACTAGTCAATCGCGATCGACTGGTTGGTGACCACTGCTCTGAAGCATCTGGCACTGGCCACTGTTGGAAGACAGGATGCTGGGCTTGATGGTCTAAGTATGGCCGTTCTTATAAGTCTCCCCCTCCTAAATCTCATCTCACTTCTGAAATATTTCCCTTTACTGCTCCCTTCTTTTCATCTTACTATTTTTTTTTGTCATCTTTCATGCTCTGTGTGACTGAAAGTGTCCATGTTTTTGCTTCTGCCAAGTATTTCTTATCCTTTGAATTTCTCTTTAAAATTCACATCTTCAATCAATCCTTGCTTTTCACCTTCAGTTATCCCCAAATGACTGACTTGCCTTGTGCTTTTATTCTTGTCAGTCTTAAATTGTAAGACTTAGTTTTATTTTATTTGTAAAGAATCATGAAAATGTGTGGTGCTGCTATATGAATGACTTCAATTGTTTTGGGCAGGTTAGAAATACAAAAATTGCTTTCTACAATAATAGGTTTTGTCTGGGATTGGAAGTAGTGCCAGAGGCAAGTGAACATTTTCTAAAATGTAACTCATTTGAACCGTAGTTCTGGATGAGTTATTTTATCTGAACCAGTTCTTTTGTACCTAATGCACATTGTATTAAAGTTGAACAGACTAGATTACAATTCCTGAAAGCTCCCTGTTTTCCTGATATGCAGAGAATTTTATTTTAATGTCTTGTCATTCTAGGTTATGCAGGAGTAGTAAAATATCGTGGTGTAAGAATTGGTGGAATTTCTGGCATTTTCAAATCTCATGATTATAGAAAAGGTAATATTTTATGTAACTTTGACTTTTTATTAACATATGCATTCAGAAACATCTTGCAATTAAGATTCCATGCTCTTTTTATTAGGTGTTCTATTTATAGTGTGTGTGTTGGAGAATTTACATGTTCTCCAAAGTTGCCTGTGAACAGATTCCCATGGTTGAGTCCACGTGTTTGTGCGCAGTCATGGCACCAACTCTTCAAGCTGAAAACAGCCATTGACACCAGCAAAGGTGTCTTACATCTGGAGCACCTATGCTTGCTCATAGTACTTTGGCAGTAAGTTGCCAAGCATGATCAGAAAAACAGCTCCCCGTGGATGTACAAGTCTTTGTAGCAATCATCCAAATGCTAATGCTAATCATCCTAATGCTTCTTTGGCAGCATTCTTTAGTTAATAGTTTTACCTATAAAACTGATTATGTAAGTTGGCGTTTATATAAATATCAAGGGACTGACTCAGCTTGAATTTCAGAGCTGCAAAGTCTCAAGGCTTTATTCCCCCACTTATTCTCTGAACACCCCAAGCCAGGCTCACCCCTTGCAATTTGATTCCCCGTGCTCCCTCTAGGAACCCAATCTCTTGTGTGACCAGTTTTTCTTGGTATGTTTCAGGTCATTTTGAGTGTCCTCCATACAATCAGCAGACTGTAAGAAGTGCGTACCATGTGAGGAATATTGAAGTCTTCAAACTCAAACAGGTGGGAAGAAAAGCTTTTTTTTTTTTTTATTTTTTTTTTTAAAGAGGGTAGATAATATTGCATGAGATTAGGCTAATTTAGAGATGAGCATGTTGGTGATCTGAATTTACATTATCTGTTTCCATTGACACAATCAAAGTTTGCTTTTGCTATTTGCAATAGAAGGGTAATTCTACAGGCCTTGTCACTAGTCTCTGCAGTGTCGCAAGACTGCCTTCTTCAGTTGATAAAGAAACACATCTCACAGGTCTCCCTCACAGCATGATGCAAATCCTTAATTACATCCTCAGCAATATCAGGAAATATTCAAGGGGACTTAAGTGCACAGGTTAAGTGTGCAAGCTGGAGGCTGTAGCTAAGGTTTTATTTTAGCATCTGAGGGCGACTAGTGGTTTCAGTTGGAAGCCAAAGGACATTTCCTGTAGTGATGCAGAGCCTAGCAGAGATGTACTGTGTTAGGATTGAGGTATAGTTAAAAGGTGTGGCATCGGCTGGCCCTTTGTGTGGGAGGAGGGGAATGCTACTTAATCAGCCTTAATTCCTTGCAAACAAAACTTTTAATGGAATTTCCTGAGTATTTAATTCAGTAAGTGTGTTTTGGGGAGAAGGCCTGGGAGCAGAGATACCTGCCTCAACTTCCCTGTGGTGTGTGAGGATATGGCAGGAGCAAAGATGTCTGTGGGTGTGTGGAAGGAGGGCCTTCATGGGTCTCTTTAGTCTCCCTCACTCCAGCACAATGGTACCTGTATTCTTGGGCAGGGCGACCTCTCAAGTGCCATATCTGCTCTTCCAGGCTGCCATGGCTCCTCAAATGGGAGGAGCCTCTGTTAAAGCTACAGAGCTTCAGCAGATGCTAGTGAGCTCTCAGCACTGGAGCTTGTAGCTTCTCCCCCCTGCAAACCCTGGAAGTTTCTTCCTGACAGACAAGGTTTCAGTTTCCTGTCCATAGAGTATAGGGAGCAGTCAGCTTCCCTGAAGGAAATGCAGAGTTAAGGTGACACTTCCCATGTAACCTTAACTCTGCTTCCTTTGATCCCTACCCTAAGGAGTGACTGAATAAGATTGCAGTACTGTTCCTCCCTCAGCCTTTTTGTGAAGTGGGATCTCTGCAAACCAGCAGCGAATACTCCCCAGAATAGTCATGCTGCATGGAGCACAATGAGTTTGTTGGACTGTGTGAATAGGAGTGTTGCATTGGAGTTGTGCTGGGTACAGAGAATGGCATTCTTGGTTAGGGAAGGTAAGGTACAGTCGTTCTCAATTCCGACTGCCATCCCTTCAGAGACCGTTAAGGTGGTGTGGGAAGTGTCACTACAACTTTGCATTTTGTGATTTTCCAGCACTGAGGGAGGTCCCCATCACTCCCCAAAAGACCCATCTCTGACTCCTGGAAGGTAAAAGGAATACTTTTCCTCTGTTCCCATTCAGAGACTGCTGGTGGCTCTGATGGGGAAGGATGGTCCCTCCTAACCTAGGAATCTGGTGGCACCTTAAAGACTAACAGATTTATTTGGGCCCTTCACTCCATGCATATGAAGAAGTGAGTTTTTTTACCCACGAAAGCTTATTCCCAAATAAATCTGTTAGTCTTTAGGGTGCCACCAGATTCCTCATTGTTTTTGTGGATACAGACTAACACGGCTACCCCTCTGATACTTGGCCTCCTAGCCTAATCCTCCTATAGCCACTTGGAGGCCTTGTCTACATTTAAAACTTATACCAGCATGGCTATGTTGATCAGAGGTATTAAAAAAACCAAAAACCAAACCCACAACCTTAGCTATATAGCTATGCTGACAAAAGCCCCAGTGTAGACAGTTATGCAGACAGAAGAGGGCTTCTGTCGGCTAGTTAATGTCCTAGGAGGTCATGTTACTATACTGACAGAACTCCTTCTTTCAGCACTAGGGGACTATACCAACGTAGTTGTGCCAACATAGGCTCTGTAGCATAGATGTAGCCAGAGTGAATGAGTGACTGCTTCTGCTGCAGCTCAGAACTTTCCCAAGTTGCAAAAGAATGAAACCGACCTCCTTCAGTTTCACTGCTGCACTATGAAAATCTCTGAGCATGGTGCTAGAAAAATCACAGGCTTGGAGATGGAAAAATTATTATGCAGTTTTAAAAGAGCTATTGAAGTGCCTGTAGGCAGGGGATAGCTAAAATACTTCAAGAAAATAGCATAGATGGGGATTGAGAGTAACACAGGGAATCTCACCCATGCTTAAGTAGCTTGCCAGCTCAGAGAAGATAATGTATGCCAATAGAATACAACTAACTTATGTTTGTAATAACTATAATTCAAGCACAGTGATACTTTCTTCCAACATTTTCTATTGTGTGAATTTGCTTTGTATATAGCACTTATTATATGGCTATAATTTTAGAAATTCTTATGGCCTTATAACTGCTTGACATTTGCCTCTAAGGGGAGATATCAAAATGATACTTTGCACTAAACCCTGTCCCAAGGAAAGCAAGAAAGTGGCACACAAACCATAGAGTTTAGAGAATGCAAGATCAAACTCAGTGGCAGTCTGGAAGATTGCATCCAGTGGTATAACCTCAGTGTTTAGAAAGTAAGATGGTCAGTCAAAATCCACTCTGGTCAGACAAAAAGAATCAAGTATGCTCTCCCTTCATTGGTATTCATTCAAGTGCTGTTCTTTTCCTATGTTTATTTTTTGCTTTATAGCTAAAGCATCCTATGGATATATTTATGTCACATGATTGGCCAAGAAGTATATATCACTATGGAAACAAGAAACAGCTTCTTAAAATGAAGTCTTTTTTCCGCCAAGAAGTGGAAAACAATACATTGGGAAGCCCTGCTGCTTCAGAGCTTCTGCAGCACTTTCAACCCACGTATTGGTTCTCAGCACATCTTCATGTAAAATTTGCAGCTTTAATGCAACACCAGGTAACAAATAAACAAAAGCATGTCATGTGTATATCTCAGGTTTCTAATGCCGGTAGCCAGATCCACACAAGCATTTTTCTCTTTGTAAAACGTTATTTGCTTTTTTTTTTATAAATGTATTTTCATATAGCTTATGGAAAGTACTCCTACCTATATTAAGTAACTATTAATTCACCCTAATAATCAAAGGCTTAACATAATCTAAAGAGTCTTAACTCATGAAGACAGAGAATGTTATAACTTATTCTGTTTATAACACATAAGATACTTTTGAAGCTATTTGTAGAACTATTACTTTGTTTTGAAAAAGATTGGCTTAAAACTATAAATTACTCTGCCCTGATGGTCACTAAACAAGTTGAGTAGCTGATGTTGCTGAACTAGAAAATTATATTTAATTTTAAAAATAGACAGCTGGATTTTTCACTTTGTGAAGGAGATAGCCTGTAAATATAGTGAAAGAGGAGGGCAGAGAGCAATTCAGGGAAGATACTCATCTCAAATAACCAGGTATTCTTTTGGGTGCCTGAGATATGGCAAGGGTCAGAGCAGACGGAGAGTTCATGAGTAACCCTGACAAAGCCAGAAAACCTGCGAGGTTTAAACCTGTTGGTTTATTTACTAATTTCTTGTCAACCAGAGTAATGCAAACTAGGAAAGTCATTGGCAACATTCTCTTTGTGCTCCTTAACAGTTGGTAAACTCCAAACAGTATAAAAATCACAAACATTTGACAGCTCTTGTGTCTCTAGAGCTTCCTGTCTTGGCAAATCTCTTTCTCTCCCTTATGAGAATAGCCCCTTCTGAGGTTCTGAGTCTGTGGCCTAGTCTACACTAGCAATGTAAGTCAATCTAAGTTATGTTACTTAACTAAGTCGATGTAATTTACATACCTAGATGCTCTCCTGTTGACATAGCTTCTGTGTCTCATTAAAGTGGATTAATTAAGTAGACAGGAGAGCGCTCTCCCGTCGACTTATTTCTTCTTCACTAGACCTGTTAAATCGATGCCTGCTGCTGCGATGGATGCAGTGGGCAATTTAGTCCGTAGCGTAGACAAGGTCTGTGTGCTTGATTAAACCTGATTGCTTTAGCTGAAGGAGACTTGTGTCTCCCCCCGCCAGTGTTGTTGCTGTCATCTACTTCAGTTTCCTCTGACTTCAGCTCAAGCTCTCCCTCTGTGTACCACAGTCCTCCCTTTTTATCTCTAGGACCTTTAGAATATTCTGTTCAATAGAAAATGTTTAAATTCTGCCCTGGAATCTCCATGCACAATTTGGTTATTGGAAAGGTCATATTTCAGGGAATCTTCAGCATTGCCAGTAATGGTTTCATTCCTGTTTCCTAGGCAAACATTGAAGGACAGCTGCCAAAAGCAACAAAATTTTTGGCTCTGGATAAATGTCTGCCACACAGAGACTTTCTGCAGGTAAGACCACCGTAAGTGGTCATCTACTATCATTTAGTACTTTATACATCTGGGTTAGGGAGTGCACAGTTCAGCAGAAAGCTGAAGAATGATTCTTCCATCCCCAGAGAATTAAATCTCACAGTTGCTGCTCATGTACGGTATGAGGACTTAATGGGGTAGTGGAAAATTAAGAGGATCCATTCTTGGTCTGCACAGAGGAATTAGGGGGTCATAAGAATCCCTCCATATGCCCCTGTACAAACTGCCAGGACTTCGTAGCAGGATACAGGAATGAGGGGCACTGTGTATTTGCTTATTAGTACTATAAAGCATGAGGGTGGGGGAATATGTGGAGCTTTTGCTCTGCCCGCTCAACGTGCTGACCAGTGGAGTGTGTGTAGTGGTAACTTGCTGCTGGAATAGATCAGAATTAAATTACTTTTCTCTCCCACCCCTCTTCTTGAAGCAAGTGGGGGTTGTGGAGGGAATTGTGAAGTATTGTGACTTAATACCTCTTTCCTGGGAAGGTGCAACAATGGACCACACCTCACTATGGGCTGTGTCCTGGTGCCACTGTCTAGCCACATGTATTCTTCTGTCTTTGGAGGCAGTAGCTAAGTAACTGAAGGCCCCTGTAAAATGCCTGAAACGTAAGCCTAAGGGAAATAAAAACAAAAAAAGACAAGATCCCCCATTTGAGTAAAGTGAACTTCCTGAGTCTGTCCTGGTGAGGGAGAGCCCCTAAACAGGCTTTTTTTCTTCCTTATTTCATGATACTGTGATCAGGTGATTGTGGGATGAGAATCTGACCAGGGTAGGTTGGAAAAGTAGCTGGTGATCCAATGCACAACCCCTTAAGGACAATTATTTGGTATGAAATTCCAGAGAAATCCTAAAAGACAATCCAATCCAGACAGTTTATTGAATTCAATATCTCACAGTACCCAAAAGAGGACTTTTTCCTACTATCTGTAGTGGACTTTTTAGAATTTGTATTGCTCTAGGGCCTAAAGGCCCTACCTGGCATTGGGATTTCATTGCGCTGGGCGCTGTATACATGGAAAAGAAAATGGTCCCTGCCCCAAAATACAAGACACACTGATACAGACAATCAACAAAAATTAAGCTTGCCAGAAGTACAGTACAATTTCTTCCCAGTTTCTCCTTCACATAAGAACCCCCTCTTCTGTGTACCACTGCCAGTCAAATTTCCTCAGTCCCTGCTTAGCTAGAGTCTCCTCCTCCATCTCATCCTGCCCCATTGGGAAACTTAGCCCCATTCTGGGAAAGACACACAAACAAAGAACCGACTCAAGCTGCCAAATGTCTGAAAGTGGTGGATCTCAGCCACTTCCTGAACTTGCAGTGGGGGCTGAATCCCATGCTTGTTTCTAGGGGAGGTGGAAAGTGGCTTACTTGACCCAGGCCTGCTGCACCCACAGTCCCGAATCTGCCACTGGTTCATGAACATGTCCCCTTCCTTCAGTGGGGTGAGATGCTTTAATCAAGAGGATACAGTTATTCCATCTTTGGCAGAAGCTTCAGCAGTTGCTATGCAAATACTGTCACATCAGGCTGTTTTACTGCAGTAATAGCAGCAGGAACCGGGCTAATGACTGAGTATGTCAGGGACTGGAGAATTAAGTTGGTACTGAAGAAAGTGTTCCCTGGCAGATGCATCACGAGACACTCTGCATTAGAAGTAATAGATTAATTCTTCAAGACTTGGCTTCCTACAAACAGGGCCAAGTGGGTTTTCAGCGGTCTACAAGAGTGCCTTTTTGTAGTCTGGAGTTTTGGACTTGACTAAAACCAGAGACCTAATCTGGTTCAGAGATGGGAGGTAGAACACTGGGGTTCCTGGCTATTAGTCCTCTAGATCATTCTGTCTCTCCAGCTAGTGAGCTTTACCTTTTGTGGCAAGAAGCTCAGTACAGTAGCTGACTCAAATTAGGGCACGTACTAGGAGGAAACTTACGGTGGCCTTATTGCCATCAATGTCAATTAGAGTGTCACTGCTTTACAACCAAATATCAAGACCATTGCCCAAGGTCAATCCTACAGGTAACTGTAAGGAAGACTATTAATGACTGGTACTAGTATAGAGAAAAATCAGTGACTAATACAACACCAGTGATCAGTTCTGTGTTTTCAAGGCTATCTTCAAAAGACCCAGGATCTCTTTCAGAATCTTATAAAACAGGGGATGTTCCTTACCTTATGAATCCTCTTTTTAGGCTGAAAGAGAAAAGCAGCTCTGATCATATTTCGCCAAACATTATAGGTTGGATTGTTCTATAAATGCAGTTCTTGGGAGATGCAGCTGTTCCTTCCCCGCTGCCTTCCTTTTTCTGAGGGAAGGGTTAAACGAACCAGTTTGGGATTGGTGGAAACGAATGGACTAAAAAGTAACTTCTGCTTATTAGTCTGTATCTCAGATGCACCCACCTGGGCAGATTCTTGAATATATTGCCCACAAACTGTTTTCAACTTTTAACTTTAAAAATAAAGTCAAGCACTCAAAAGTTAGGAAATGCTAGAATTCATGTTGCCTGTGCAGCCTTAATTCAGCCTCCTTGTGCATGCATATGCGTTATGATAGTCTCTAATTACATGATCACATACTACTTTTTTCACAGAACCCCTGCGTTATTCAATGGGCAGGTATACTGAGCTTTTAATTAAGAACTGATTGTTCTATCTTTAAGCATTATCTTCAGGCAATGTTGTCTTGTCAGGTTGAATTAAATGCCTCATTTGTCAATATTGTTTTTCTAAGGTAATAGATATAGACCATGACCCCAACGCATCTGATTCTCTGGAATATGACATTGAATGGCTTGCTGTTCTCAAGGCTACTAACAATCTTATTAATGTGACTTCAAACGCATGGAACATGCCTGAAAACAATGGCCTCCATGCAAAGTAAGTAAAATGAGTATTGGGTTTAGACTTTCTTTGTGTTGAAAATATGCATATACTTTTGAAAAGAGAGATTTGGGATATTAGAGATAGGATGGGTGAGGTAATATCTTTCAATTGGGGGCCTGGGGTGCACAGCTGCTGTGCAGACCCATAGTGTAGCATTCTCGTCCTGCAGCCAGGCCCCCATCTCTTGTAGCATCTGGTTATCTGTGGCATGCTATGCCAGATGGGCCCACAGAGCCACATTTTCATCATGGAGCTGGGTGGATTGCCTGTGCAGAGCTTGGTTCTCTGTTGCGAGCTGTGATGCTTGGGCTCGAAGCATGGGGTGGTTTTCCTGGGAGTGGTCAACCCATTCTGCCATCTCAAATACCCTCTAGGGCATGCCGGGCAGGAAGTGGCCCACTGCCTTCATGTTCCCCCAGGGTAGGCCTCCACCATGGGGGAGAGTGGTCCAGACAAACTGTCAAAATCCCAACAAGGGCAGTTGGGACCATAGGTCAGAGAAGAGGGAAACCTGAGGTTGGGGGTCATAGAGGAGTTCATAGTCAGGTTCCAGGCCAGGGTCAATACCAAGGGTCAGAGTCTGTGTCAGGATTCAGGTTCTAAGTCAGGAGGCGAAGTCCAAATCAAGCCAAAGATGAAGCCTGGAGTTCAGGAGCAGGAATGGTCATGGCAGCTACAGGAGATTGACACTGTTGCCTGGACACTTCCTGGAATACCCCTTAAGTTTTTATAGGACAGGGAGCCAATCAGGAGCCAGGAGTTGGGCTTCCGATGGTCTGTGTCCACAGCGGTTTGTGGACAGTAGAGTCAAGCTGGTTACAGTTGCTGTTGGTTGGCACATGGAGATGCCAGCTACTTGGCAGCTCTACTGGCCTGGGTTCTAGATCCATTTGGGCCGTACGGCATATTGGGGAGCTATCCTAGTACCCATGATTGGTCCCCTGGTTTGGACAAAGTTATGTGTTGTTGAATGTAAAGTTGTGGGTGAGGATGAAATAGATGAATATGGTGATGTGTTTGGAGTGAATATCTGAGTGTTGGCCATTGTCTTGTAGGTATTTTAGACAGGCAGCAATTCTGTCATTGTGAGGGATGTTGGTATATAGGGAGGTGACATCCATGATGGCAAGGGTAGTGTTCTGAGGGAGGTTGTTAATGTTGCAGAGTTTCTAGAGAAACTGCTTGTTCAGAGCCATAGCCTGGCTGGCCGATATTCACTGCTGTCTTCAATGGCTGCAAAAATTGTAAAAATGTGAGCTCTCATTAGTCCTGGTGGCAAAGAGCTAACCAGCTTTAGAGAATAAAATGCTGTGTTTGTCCACCTAAGCATTTAAATGGTCTCAGACTTTGAAAGTCATGCTGCTTTGAAGAAATTTGTAGAGCTGAGTCCCCACCTTTGCTGCTGCTAGACTGGAAACAGTCTTACACGAAACTGAAAAAATGGGGCAGCCCATCTGTGTACATTGTATCATCACAACAGAAAATGCAGCCAATTGTTACTTCAAGTACAAGTTCAGTTTTTTTCCCCGGTAGTTGTGACTTTCCTGTTCCTGATTATGCTGACTTGTTTCAGTGAAATTCTTTATTGATTGAAAAATCAGTTTCTCTTTGGTCTTCCATATTAGTCCAGATGTTTGGGCTATCAGCAGATGGAGACGACACCAGAACTTTGGATAATGTCCCCATCCTTGCCTATGAGGGTCTGACCATCACTCAGCCTTCAGTTATTTGCTCTGTCTAGCAGCTGAAGAATGTTGTTCCTGGTAGGCTGCTGCTAGAGGAAAGCAGCAAGATGCTGGAGGCTTAAAGGAAGCCCTGTGACACTTAAAGTGTGCAGCTGTTCTTTGCAGCACATGTGCTATAGGGACAGTCTGTGGCCCTCAACTTCATGTACAATAGGGGAATCTTCCCTTAGCAAATGTTGATGTTAGCCCTTCTGAACAAGTCAGAGCGCCTGAGCCCCAGGCAGGGTTCAGGCTCCAACTCAGCCTAACATTGCCAGCTCCTTCTGTGTAGAGGTGAGTGGTAAGGGTCTGTACTCAGCGAGCCCTGACAAAGTAGGGAAACCCCATAAAGAACTCCACTCCACTCCACTGGGGACTCAGCCCTTGGGTACAAGGCTCTGGGTGCAGAGTCCTAGCAATAGGGGAAGGCTGAAGAACTTCCTCCAGACCTGGGCCCAAACAAGGTCCAACCACTGGGTCCTGGAAATGGTAGCATACAGAGATAGAATAAAGGCTGGTGTGAAACCTTGAGCAACTTAGCACAATGCAATAGACTTGTTGGCCAAATGGTGCTTGAGACCCTAAGCCACTTTCTGAATAGACAGCCATCTCCTGGGTTCTGGAGGATGAGAACAACATGGGGATCTGAGTCTATTTCACTGTCTCCAGAACAAGGAGTCTGTACCCAGTTCTGCACTGGAAAAAGTTCAACTTTTCTTAGAATTCAAAGTATCAGAATGGAGCCACTTTAAAGTCAGTTCCTCAAGAAATGAACTTGAGTGGATTCTTATGCTTCCTGGTTATTCTGGGTGCATCCCTACATGTGCCAATTCTGCAGTCTCAACAGAAGTTTTTGCAATTTATTATCCTGGACCAGCACTTCCAGTGCCAAGCCTTACCTCCCTTGGGGCCCTAAGAAAGGGCATATATTCTGTTGTACCTGGATAACTGGCTGTGTCTGAGGTCTGTGTACTTGTAGAGGCATAGGTTGGTGATTAAACAAGAGACCTTGATCCTAAAGAGCAAATGTACTTGGAAAGTGGAGTTGATTACGTCAGATGTTCAGTAATCCTGCAAGATGTCTAAGACTCACTGAGAGCAAAGTGTTTTCTTGACATTTTCTCAGCTGGATTTATTCTAGACTTGCCAGCCTGGGAAGCTTTGACAGTGGATGCTGGGATATATGTAACTGAAGGATTATGTATCTGGCACATTTCAGGTTTATACTACCTCCCCACTGAGCCAATTTTAGAGTAGCCTACAAATGAAAAATAGCATACCTTGTACTCAAACAAAGCCAGTCTACTTGTACTCAAGCTTTCAGAAAAAATCTGGGCTTGGGCAAAGACCAAGCATGGATAATTTCAGCCCCAAAAGGTAGAAGTTGGATCAGTTGTAAGCAACTGAAAAGAGACCTTAATGTTGCAGAAGCATATCCATTCTAAATGTTGTCATTATGCGTTCAATTTTATCTACAACATTTTGATATGAATACAAATTTAATAAGATACATTAAATTGCTTTATAAAGTTAAGAAATGTGTATTGCCTAATGAATATAGTTTGTGCAGAGACAGACTTCAAGGACAAAACCATGTTTGCAACCCGTGGAAGACCCTCTTAAATTACTATAAAAGAGAAGATGGCTAATGCACTCTGGGTCAAGTTCATCCCTATACCGAGGGGCCCAGAGCACAAAGCTATCCCATCTAAACCCTACTTAGGTTTTAAATGATGCATGCCTTGTGCTGACTTAATTCCCAAGAGCAAGTTTCATCCTGAGCTTTAGCCCCTTGTGCCCACTGTTCCCTCTAAGCTGTGTGCGTGTGCGCGCACACAGATCCTAAACCCCGCGCACACGGCAAAACACCGTGCACACACAAATTTGCACAGAAGAAATTTTTTGCGCACACGGCCTGTCAAAAATTAGAGGGAACATTGCTTGTGCCTATATGTTACAGTAGATGAGTAAATCAGAATCATACCCATCAGAACTGCTCAACTGTAGGAAATATTTCATATTACCTCTGGGGAAGGTGTTGCTGAAGTGTGTTTTCTGCTTTTCATTTCTTTTGCTGTTCTGTTAGACAGACAACTCCTTTCAGGAAGATTTGAGTGATTGAGGAACTTCTGCAATCAGGCAACTTTGTACAGTAGAACCTCACTATAACATGCTTAACAATAGCAAACCTTGGGCTATAGCAATGTTTCTCAAACTGGGGTCTGTGGACCCTTGAGGGTTCATGAGGGAACTCCAGGGGGTCTGTGGGTCCTGCTGATCGACTCCTTCCCTTCCCTCCCAGTGCCTTCTGCATGCCAGGGAACCGCTGTTCCCTGAGGTGCAGGAGGTGCTGGGGGGGAGAACAGGGATGGGGCACTCTCGGGGAGGGAGTGAAAAGGGGTGGGGCAGGGCCTTGGGGGAAGGGGTGGAATGGGGCCTGGGGCTGAGTGGGGGGCTTTGGGTCTGTGCAAAATTTTAAATCAAAATGGGGGTTCCTGGGTTACTAAAGTTTGAGAACCACTGGGCCATAGTGAACATGGTCCCTGAATCCTTACCCTGGCCCCGGGGCCGCAAAGGCGGAGGGCCGAATGTGCGCTCCTGGGACTGGAGGAGCTATTCCCCTCTCCTGATATAAGGAACCCCTGGCTACACCTAACAAATGGCTTGGATCCCCAGGGGTTCATTATAGCAAGGGTGTACTATATATGCAAGTATGGTCTCATTTCATGAAAACAGATGACATCTTTTATATATTTAGCCCTCTTTCTCCCCTCTTTCAGACACCTCTTTAAAACCTACCTCTTCAACCACTTCTTACCCTCTTGCTGGAAGTCTTAATCCTTCCTTTCTTGATCTGTTTAAATATATTTGTATGTGTCTTGATTTAGATTGTAAGCTTCCTGTAGCTGGAAAGTTTTTAATCAGTTTGTAAAGCACCATGTAAATTTGATATGGAGAAATTTTGCTTACTTGTAATAGCTTCCTCTTTCTTCACCAGTTCAGATGTTTGGGTTATAATTCCCCCCAAGGTGCAGATTGAGCCAGTATATTAAGGCTTTGGATTTCATATCACAGAAAGCACTAGCTGTTGCTTAGTTTTCAGTTGAATACAATTAAAGCAGTACCAAGCAAAGACCGTCAACTGACAGTATTCAACAGCCATTAACTGATACATTTAGCAGTAGCAATTTGAACATACTGCAAAAAGCTTCAACTGATTTGCTGGTGCGATGTGCATCCAAATCTTCAGGAGCCTTAGAATGAAAAATGTTAAAAAGATGAAACTTTCTTTACTAAGTCCAGATGTTGAGACCACCGAAAGCAGTTATTTAGTATGGGAGGGATTATCACTTTACTACTGCCTTCACCACCCTTCTCCAGAGCCTGCAAACCGTGAACCTATTCTATAAACTTTGGCAAAAGTGCAAGCAGAAGACAGCCTTGCAAATATCCATTAAACAGGATTTCACTGCCCTGCCTGCCACACACGCGTGTCCCTCCCTCCCTCCCCCCCCACTGTAGAGTGAGAGTAAAAGTTAACTTTCCTGCTGCAATAGTAAGTCTCTGATCAGTATCCTTATCCAGCTACAGACTATAGCTTTGGAGGCCACTTTATCTTTAAGCCTTGGTGAAGGATCAAATGTCTGAGACTTCCTAAACAATAGATCTTATTGTACTGTGGACATCCAGGTGATGTAGCCTTCCCTCCTTTAGGAATTTTGGGGTCAAATGAGGCAAGGGTGATTCTCCTGTTGGAAGACTGATTTGTTGGGCCTACATTCTGGCAGAGACCCAAGCATGACCTTTACCTTGCAATGTCATACATTAGCTTGCAAATTTTCTACTCTTCTTACACAGCATGCTACTACTAGAAACTGGACTCAAAAATAGAAGTTGCAGGATCACAAATTGAGTAAGTCAGTAATGTGATGCAGGTGCAAAAAAAGGCAAAGGTCCCTTTGGGATATAGTAACAGGAGTGTCATATGTAAGACATGTGAAGTAATTGTTCTGCTCTACTCTGCACTGCTGAGCCCTCAGCTGGAGTACTGTGTCCAGCTTTGGGCATCACACTTTAGGAAAAATGTGGACAAATTGGAGAGAGTCCAGAGGAGATAAACAAATTATAAAAGTTTTAGACAGTATGACCTAAGGAAAGGGTTTTTTTTGTTTTTTAAATCTGGACATGTTTAGTCTTGAAAGAACACTGATAGGGGAACCTGGTAAGTCGTCTTATGTGTTAAATGCTGCTACAAAGAGCATGGTGAGCAGTTGTTCTCCATGTTTGCTGAAGTTAGAAGAAGTAATTGGCTAATGCTGGATCAAGAGAGATTTAGGTTAGATATTGGGGGGAAAACTTTATAAGGATAGTTAAGCTCTGAATAGGGATGTTGTGGAATCCCCATCCTTGGAGGTTTTTAAGAACAGGTGGGACAAACACCTGTCAGGGAGGGTCTGGGTATATTTGATCCTATCTCAGTATGGGTGGCTGGATTAGATGATCTCTCAAGGTCCCTTCTGTGATGGGATCCCCGGGGTGCAGCCTGGGACTGTGGGACTGCTGTGCCCCCTTAACTCTCTCCAGCCTGGGCTGTGTCTCTCAATGCCTTGCTAGTGACAAGCAGCAAGCCTCTCCAGGTGCTATCGCTCAGCACTACAGCATGTGGAGCCCCACACCCAGCTAGATTGCATGAATGCTCCCAGAGCCACTCATGAATCACACAGAGAAAGGCACTAGCTAAATCCTCCCAGCCTTGTAACTCAGGAATACACTGTCTTGCACTGCTCAAGCAGTGCAAATTTATTAATTGGTTCACCACTTCATCAATGGAAAGTGGATATACACCAGCCTTTGTAAACCTGAGCAAACACCCTTACCAAACACTTCAGGCAAACTCACTGGTAAAGAGAAACAGTTAAACAAATTTATTGACTACAAAATATAGATTTTAAGTGATAGGCAAAAAGTCAGTTAGTTACCAAAATAAAATATAAGGGTTGAGAGTTTAGACTGTGTGCTATTAGACTGGGCAACATCTAGATTAAGCAGTTTTTCTCACCCCACTGGATACTGCAGTCCTAAATATACAGGTTTGTCCCTTAAACCTGGGCCAGTCCCTTCTGTTGGCATCTTCAGTCTTCTGGGTGTCTTTGTTGTTTGCAGCATAGGTGGTGGAAGGAGAAAAGGCCCAGCATGTGGCCACTGTGTTCTGTTTTATACCCTCAGTCCATGTGCTTGGAGAACACAAGTCCAGGCATGTTTGGTGGGCATTGCTGAGTCTCCAGGCAAGGTTGAGAAATTCCCCTGGCATGTCCTTGTGCAAGTGTGTCATTGAATTGTAACTCCTCTGCTGGACAATGGCTGGTTATGTCTGTTTAGCACCCACCCGCCGGGCGTTGGTTACCTCCCTTGTCATTGTCTCTGGAGAGCTAGTATCTGGGTGCTTCCCAAACCCACATCGTATTTTAGTGACAACCATACAACACATTCTCATAACTTCATATACATTAATGATATACACATTTAGATAGAAAAATGACTTTCAGCAGATCATAACCTTTCCTCTGATACCTCACGCGGCCTGCTTTATATGCAAGATCACAATTGTATATAAATGAGGGATAGGGGAGTTATAGGATGCTCCCCCAAGGTATAGAATGTCACACCTGTTTAAAACATCTATTTGGGTTAGTTTAGCATAAATTAATCTATCCATAGTAGTAATTATATTTTAGTCAGCCGTAATATTTGGGTGGGCATTCTGGCTTTTCCAGTATAAAGCAATTGTGCCTCATTGTTAACAAGTTAGAAATAATTATCTTCCTGTAATGGCATCTCATATCAACTGGGGCTTGCAGTTAAAAAGGCGGCAGGGTTTCAGGGAAGCTGAATCTGTAGTCCTTATGTGGCTATTTCTAGCCTAAAATGTAGATAATAGTTCAGTCAAATGTAAAAGTTCCAATATTCACATCAGTTTGAATGATTGTTCCAAATATTTTAGGTAATCTTAAATTCTTATGCATAGCAAAGGAAGACTTTGCCTCTGTATATGGTATTTGTTAGATCATTACTGGACTCCATAATCTTAAAAGGATAATGATGATGAATTAGAGAGAGTTCAGAGAAGAGAGACAAAAATAGTTTGAGGGATGGAGAAAATGCCTTACAGTGATAGTCAAAGAGCTCAATCTGTTGAGTTTATCAAAAAAGATATGTCTATAAAGAGAACCTCTTCAAACAAGAACAGGAAGAGAGATGTCTTGGCTAGTTGAGCTCAGCAGAATCTGACATTGTTTTTTATTCCTGTAGGTGGGATTACAGTGCAACAGAAGGAGCTCTCAAAGAGATATTGGAAGAGCTGAGCCATAACCTCAAAATTCCTTGTAACTTCAGTGTGACAGCTGCTTGTTATGACCCCTACAAACCACAGAAAAATATGGAACCAGTTCATATAATCAATCCACAGACCACTGAGTTTTGTGCCCAGTTTGGCCTCACTGATATTAATGACAGGATTCAGCAAGTGAAAGAAGAGGGCTCAGTTCGGGGAGAATATGAGGAGGAGGAGGAAATGGACAGTACTGAGTCAGCAGAGGAGCCCAGTGAATATTATACAGATAATTCTGGGCTGTCTTTATCTATTAACCCAGATGAAATAATGCTGGATGAAGAGGGTGGTGATGAAGATCAAAGTACCTGTTCTGTGGATCCTTCACCTGATCACCCTCCTGACTTTTCAGCAAGTTTTTCTGACACCAGGATTGTGCCAGATTCCATGATGATATCCTCTGATGATGCTATGGACTCCACCAATGAAGACCTGGAGAAATCTGGTGTGAGTGAGCAGACTGAAGAGAAGAGCTTAAATGAAAGAGCTTTAAAGAGGATTGGTAAAAATGAGAACGGAAACAGTGCCATGAAGAAAATTAAAAGACGGAATCAGGCTATCTATGCCACAGAGGATGAAGATAAAGTATAATGAAAATGCATTAAGGTCACAGGTTTTATTAACTGCTGTAACTAGCTACCTTTTTTGGTGTGTTGGGGGCAATGGTGAGAGCTTTTAAAATTCAGCATTTGAAGTGATCGGTACCACTTTTATGCTACATACTACCGTATGCTACAAAACTTCTAATGGAGCAGAATACCTGTTTAGTATTCTTTTTCTTGCTCAGTCCTTTTCAACTAAGTGTATTGTAGAAAGATTTCAAGTTTGTGTATAATCAGTTTGTTCTGCTTCAGCTTTTGATAATTAACTCATTTTATCTACATTCTGCTTTGCCTCCATATAATAACTGTAATACTTAGTGAACTGAGGAAGAATTTCTTTAAATTGTAGTTAGGTTTGGAGGGAGAGGATCTTTGCATTGCCTTTAATGCTGTCTTTCAGCTAAAGGTAACACTTAGTACAGAATAGCTAATGCAGTAATTGTCTGCAGTGTGGTTAAAAGCAGTACTCCCAAGATAAAAAGAGCAGTAAGAGAAGATGATCATGATTTTTATTTCTCTGGAGTTACTGTTTCTGCAGTGGAAAATCTTGGCAGTTGGTGTCTTTAAAAATATGAATATGTATTATATGCATTGTCTAATACTGGTTTTAAATTTTAATTCAGATATATACAGAAAAGAAATCTCACATTGCAAACAAATTATGACTGAGGTGGTTACGCTAATGCGTTGAAGGCAAGTGCATTTGTTTTCAATATAAATTCTCGTGTGTTTCTCTCCCAAAAGTTCAGAACAGTATTTCAAAATTAAAATACTAATGGAAGCTAAAATTATCTAGCAATAACCTCAGAGACATTTGTATCTGAATTACTGCCTCAATAACTCCGAATCTGAATCTTCTGACTTTATGGGTAAGCTGTTGTGTTTGGTGCTTTCAGGGGAGAGGGCTGAAAGTTTTTATACACTTACAATAGGTAGTGATGGATGTAGTAAATGTTACCTAACATGTTCCATTAAGATCCTGTTTGCAGTTGCTTATAACTTTGTCAAACTCTAACTATTTGGGCTAAAATTTTTCATGCCAGCTCTCTTACTTGGAAACTTTAGGCAAAAAACCTATTTCCTAATCTCAGAATGAGATAAGGAGATAGATGAAAGAACTAGGCACATTTCTTCTAGAGAAGGCTGAGGGACACAATCTTCAAATATGTAAGAGGTTATCGAAGAGGATAGTGATCTTTTGTTCTCTCATGTCCACACAGGGTGGGAGAAGAAATAATCAGCTTAGTTTGTAACAAGGGAGTTTCAGGTTAGTTAGAATGTTTTTTCTAATATCTAAGGATAGTTAAGTACAGGAACAGGTTACTTAGGGAGGCAGTGGAATCGCCATCACTGGAGGCTTTTAAGAACAGTTTAGACAAACACCTGTCAGGGATGACCTAGGTTTTACTTGGTCCTGCCTCAGTGCAAGGGGGATGGGCTAGCTAGATGATGTCTCAAAATCCCTTCTAGCCCTATATTTGTGGGTGGTTTTTTTTGCACATTAAATTTAATTGTTTTGTTGAAGCTCTAATGCCTCCATCATTTGGTGCTAAAATTTGAGGGGGTTACCTTACTGTTAGTGATATGCCTTTCACTGTCCCCATGAAACTCTGTCAGAGTTATGAACCTCTGAAAATTGTTGTTTGCATAGACTCAAACTTCTTAGGCCTGATCTACACTGGGGGGGAATTGACCTAAGATATGCAACTTCAGCTATGAGAATAGCATAGCTGAAGTCGACGTATCTTAGGTCGAATTACCTCGCATCCTCATGGCGTGGGGTTGACTGCTGCCGCTCCATCGACTCCACTTCCGCCTCTCGCCGTGGTGGAGTACAGGAGTCGACGGCAGACTGATCGGGGATTGATTTATCGTGTCTACACTAGACGGGATAGATTGATCCCTGATAGATTGATCACTACCTGCCGATCTGGCGGGTAGTGTAGACGTACCCTTAGTTTGGCAGCTAAGGAGAAAGTAGCCTGGTTAGAATGCAAACAGATGGGGAAGTGGGCCTGAGCAGAGCAGTGGGGAGCCTGGGATGTGGAGCCAGTGGAAGGCATAGGACGGGGATGTGGCGTTGAGGAGGGAGGAGACTAGGAGTAGGACAAAGAGAGGTTCATGGGACATCCTGTAGAAGAGTCTTAACTACTGTACATGCCTGCTTCAGAATCAGAATGTTCAGGTTGCAAAGTCAAGGATTCTCAAAAGCTGGACCTGAAACCTAAGCTGGGCCCCTTTGTTCATATGCATTATGGTAAACTTGCATGTTATTTTTTTCCATAAACCCCCTGCTTCTTTCAGGGCACAGAATGGATGACACTTTGTGAGCAGATATCTTATGCTCATTTTATCCTTATTTAATGTGTGTGGCTCTATTGTCTTATTTACTGCACATCATTCAACATTTACTCTCAATACAGTATTTCATATGGGCGCTCATTGCTGTAGCATCTGAGTGCTTCACAAATGAAGTTAGCCTGTGTCACCGATGGTGGTGCAATCTCTGCAAAGCAGTAAAATGACTAGGTGGAAGTCAGTTTCAAGGTTGCTGTGCTGATCTTATAGGATCAAATTCACTATCAATTTTGTGTGCATGGCTCCAATGTGACTTTACTGGTGCACAGTACCCATGGTGAGGCCAAGCAAAAATTCCAGATATCATGGAATGGTACAAGCCTTGATCACTAGGTATATCCAATGTACCTTTGGGTTACATAGATCAACCGTTGACATTCAAAGAACACCTCAAGAACCTGAAAAAGAAAGTGAAGTTCTGGAATTGTGTACACCAGAAAATGGCCAACACAAAATGGGGAGCTGACCCCAAAACACTTTGAGCAACCAGTCTTGCTCTGTGCTATTCAACTATGGAGTATAATTATGTCTTAGAGTGGTCCCCTTTTACTAGATGCTCTGTGGACTGTACTGTTTCTACATAGTTTTTCTGGAACTCCATATTAGAGGTTTGCTGGGGTCCTTAGCTTATGTCTAACACAAGGAATGTCTAAACCAATAAGCCACTACCCTTTTATACTGCCTCCATTCCTAAGCACTAGCATATGTGTTTAATATAAAGGGGGTTTGAATTGCAGGTACGATGAGAGTAAATGGGTCACAAGTGTCATTAACACTGAAAACTAAATCACACTATGGTGATGGTTTCACTTTTCACCCAAGCTATGCAATGGTTTAAGCTCGATTGGCAAACCCATGAATGAACCTCCTATTAGGTACTATTAGGGTTACCATATTTAAAAAATAAAAAAAGAGGACACTCTATGGGGCCCTGGCCCTGCCCCAACTCTGCCCCTTCCCCAAAGTCCCTGCCCTAACTCCGCCCCCTCCCCTGAGTGCCCCACATTCCCCCTTCTCCCTCCCAGCCACGCAAAAAGGGCTGCCCGAGCGCTACTGGCTTCACGGTTTGCTGGGCAGCCGCCAGACCCTGCGCCCCCGGCCGGCGCTTCCCCAGGGCAGCTGGAGCCCGGGAGGGGAAGTGCCCAGCTGGGGGCGCAGGGTCTGGAGGCTGGCCGGCAAACCGTGAAGCCGGTAGCGCTCAGGCTTCAGGCAGCCCCTATGCCTCCGGACCCTGCGCCCCCAGCCGGGCACTTCCCCTCCAGGGCTCCGGCTGCTGTGCTCCTCCCCTGACTCTTCGGCTCTGTTTAAGAGCCGAGCTGCCCGAGCGCTACTGGCTTCGGGCAGCCCCCATGCCTCTGGACCCTGCGCCCCCGGAGCCCAGGAGGGGAAGTGCCCGGCCGGCGGTATTTTTCCCGGACGTGTTCGGCTTTTTGGCAATTCCCCCGGACGGGGGTTTGATTACCAAAAAGCCGGACATGTCCGGGAAAAATCGGACGTATGGTAACCCTATGTACTATGAGCAGAGCCCAACCAAACTCTGCACATCTGCAAGTGCCTGGGGAGTCAGACTAATTTTCTTATTGTCAGTGGAAATGCCCAATGTGTTCCCCAAGACAGGCTCCTACTTTTGAATCTGCTTGTATTTTTTGGTTTCAATTTCAGATTGGCACACAAACTTATCACAGACCATTTGTAACTGCACCAGTCTTAGAACTCACCAAGATATCTTCTGGCTATTACAGATATGTAAAGAGCATTCCATGGAATGGCACTCTCAGCCTAAGATTCCCAAAACTAGTAAGGGAATACGAGCCAAAACCCATTAATTTGCCACAGCCGTTGTCCTGCAGTAAAAGTGGTCTTTTCCCTGTCATTTGAATTTATTTCTATTGCCAAGATTTAGTGTAGAAAACCAGAATGAACATGTTCTAGTGTTAAGGATATTTTCTATTTGTGTTAATGGATAAGAATCCTTTAAATTAACTTAATTTAGTTTTCTATAGTACACTGACTCGAATACTACATTTTTATTTTTTGCTAGAACTATGCACGTGTCCTTGCACTCACCATCTTGCGCTCCCTCCCCTTCCATCCCCACCTCCCTGTGCTCCCTCCCCCTCCAGCCTTATCCCATTGTGCTCACTCACCTCCTTGCGCTCCCTTTCCTTCCATCCCCACCCCACGTCGTCCCTGCACTTTCATTCCCACCCAATCGCCCTGCGCTTCTTTCCTCCTCCCACTCACCTCCTTGTGCTCCCTCACCACACTGCTCACTCACCTCCGTAGGTTCCCTCCCTCCTCCCCCTCATCTCCCTGCGCTCCCCGAGCTCCCATCTGCACCCCACCTGTGCTCCCATCTCACCTCTCTGCATTCCCGCCTCCCCACCCTGTCTCCCTGCGCTCCCCCCCCTTCCCCGCCACAGATCAGAGGGGTAGCAGTGTTAGTCTATCCACAAAAACAACAAGGAGTCCGGTGGAACCGTAAAAACCTCTGTGGTGCTGCTGGCACATGCGCACTGTAACTCTCTTCCCCCCTCCAATCAAGAGGAAAAATTCCGTCCCCCCCTCTTCAGGGCGCCAAAGGCCTAAGTGGGCGCACGCGCACTCGTTTGGGCCATAGACAGAGAGTTTGGATTCGGTGTTAGCCGATTCGTTAGAGCAACTCCTGTGGCCCGGCCGGGCGCTAGTACCGCCCCCTCCCCCACCCACGGCGATGGGCCGGGCTCGGCGGCGGTAGCACTGGCCGCCTCGCGCGGGGTTGGGTGCCGTCGTTGCCGCGCGCGCCCCCAAGATGGCGTGTGTGCTGGAGACGCCGCTCCGCATGAGCGTCCTCTCGGTGAGTGCCCGGCCCTTCCCCCGCGGGGCCCTGGAGCCCGCTCGGCGGCTTGTCCTGCGCGGTGTCATGTAGGAGGGGGAAACCCGACGGAGCCCCAGTAGGAGCGCGGGCCGCCGGGGGCTCTGGCTCCCCCTGCCCTTCCCCCCGGGTGCCGGGGGCCCTGGCTCGCTTACTGAGGTCAGCGTGGATCTGCCCCAGGCGAGCAGCGTTAGGTGCTGTCAGGCGGGGACGCTCCCCCAGACTTGCCCTGTTGGGCCCGCGGCCAGGGGCTTGGCTGTGCCTGCCATCATGGCCTGTGCCTGTCAGTGCAGAGATAGGAAGTTCCCCCCTGCTGTGAGTGTGACCGCCAGTGCCCGACGCCTGTGCGTCCCCGGGGAGGGGGAGAGAGACTCGGGAGAAACCACAGGGGCCCAGGGTGGGTAGAGAGAGCCACCTCAGTTCGCTTTCTCGTCCCTCCTAGCTCTTCGTCTACTACTGAGGACGGCGGGCCCCAAGCAAGATAAGACACCCCCTTGTGGAGCTGGGGAGGATCCAGGAGGGACGCACTGAAGGGAAAAGAGATGGGAAAGAGATGATAGTGTGGGTGGGGAAGCACATATGAGACATGGGGAAGAGGTGAAAAAGGATAGAGGAAATAGATAAAACTAGACAAATTGGAAAATAGCATGAAAGAGGGAGAGAATGTGTCTGTTGGAAAAAAAGGAATAAAGAAATGAAAATGGTGCCTCTCTGAAGACAGAAAACTTATAGCTTAGTGATCTTTTGTGTATGTATTTGTATTTTATTGTGTGGCTAATAGATGCCCAATAGCTAGATGTGAGGAAAGATGTAAGAACCAAAACAGTATTTGTATACTAACACTTTGTGTTGGATACTCTAATTTAAAAAAATCAATGGCTTGGATGTTAAATATTCAGGATTCTCTGGTTCTTTTTGTTGCAATATATTCAATTCTCAGTGGTTTTTTTTCTTTTCTTTTTTCCCTGTTGCAGATATGGTAGTATTACTTCCTTTTTTCAGAAAGTACTCATTTTACCTTCCTCTACCTGTATTGGTGTTGAGTCTACACACTCTCACTATAAACTTCGCACCATATATAGGGATACAGGGTCCTTGCTTATGAAAACTGCTGTCAGTTCAGGGCTTTTAAAGCTCCCTTGCCCATTCATCACTGGCAAGTGGTAATTTTGTCTTGGTCACTGAAGACTGCTCTTTGTAGTACTTCTGATGGCCATGTTGCTGCTGTCTTGTGAAGAGGCTCATCCACTGCTGCTCTGCTGACATGGTGTAGACAACATGTTGCCCTCGCTCTACAGCACTGGAGTTTTAGAGTGGAAAAAACAGGAATCCTAGCATGAAAGCATTTCCTCTTCCTGTTGGCCTGAAGGGAGGAGATAACAGACAGAATACGCATGGTGGTTGCACTCTAGTGCCACCCACCATTGCACTGAGAAAAAGTGGGAGATTGTGATTAGAAAAAAAGGAAAGTGTGTCGTGTTTCTTTGATTTTGTTATAATTGGCAGTGTTTTTATTTAAATGGCAAAATAAAGGAATACATTGCCCCTTCGCCTCTGGGTAACAGTGTTTATTACTGAATGCAACTGTCCCATATCTTAAAATGAAAACATTGTGAACCAAAATCCTACTTGCCAGTCTGAAATGGGTACCTTAAAAGCTGAAGTATCTGTGTCTTTAATTTTTATTATTAAGCTTTTAAGTAGCGTGAAGATAAGTGCTACTTGTGTTTTAATAGAATAGTGCCAAGGTTATACCCCAGTTACTACTTGTTTTTTATATTACAATTTCTTTTCGCTACTCCTTACAAGATAGAAGGATATATATTTGGAATAGTGAGCAAATAAATTCTGGTAACAATAACTATGAAAAATCTGTGGGGGTTTGACAGACTGCTTCTTATGGATATTGGTGATGAGATGTTCCTCCCAGCAGTGAGTGAACAAGTTAACCTTTGTGTGGCAGGGTTAGTGCTAGTCAATAGGCTAAAGGACAGTCAAGATTAGAATCTGCACTTATTGGGAGGTCTTCATTTTGCATCTATACACAATTAGGGTTTGCTTCGGATATATTTCTGGTGGCAGTGAAAGTCCACTACTGAGCCCGTTCTATTCTCAAAAGCTTCATCCTTGGGACAGATAGCCAAACGCTCCTGTAGAATGTAGGTGGCATAATGAATCAGGGGGCCTTTAGGTTCTTCTTGTTTCTCCCAGATAGTCATGAGACGGTAGGGAGGAAGATAGTGGACATTCTTGAAATCCAGCTGGATAAAGAGGAGTAATCTAAATCCAAGGGCAAATATTTCCCCACTCAAAAAACTTAGTTCCCTTTCATTCCTCAAGGAAGTCACTGGGGAGCAATGTGAGAAGCTCAATAAAGGGAATAGGCTCAGCTGCCAAACAATACCATTTTTCCAGGTTGGCATCCATTCTTCTAAACTGGATGCCTGTAGTTAGCTCTACATGTTAGTTTAGGAAAGCCTAAATAAGTCATCAGACTTTCAGGAGTGCCAAGTACCGGCAAATTCCATTAAAGTCAGTGGAATCTGTGGGTGCTCTCCACCTTTGGAAAATTAGGCCACTTTTATTGTGGCCTGATTAATTCATTTTCTGGGAAGTTGAGAACAGTTTGCTGAGATCAAGGAAACACTTCGTTGTATGTCATCGTGAGCTTGGAGTGGAAGCTTTTCCCCCCTTCTTCCCTTCTGCCACTGTTGATTTGGGATGCTAGTCACTTGCATGCACTTCCAACCTTGGACATCTTAAGGGAAAATAACTAATCACTGGTGCATAAATATTTAGCGGATACATATGTTGTTTCTGGGATCAGAGTTTTAAATTAGTCTTGTGAGGAATGCAGTGTGTATTGTTACTGTATGTGATGGAGTGTGTTGGACTTATTTATAGAAAGGCAGACTCTGTCAATGAAAGTGGTGAATGTGTTGTGTGAGGGTAAGGTGTATTAAAGAAGGATACCTTAACTGATCACTCCCTTGTTTTTAGGGCGTATATAGGTGGGTATTCCTCTTGAGCAACCTTAACTGTTTTATTAACTTTTTTCCTGTGTGGGGTTATAATACACTTCCACAGAAAAAGTTAACCAAGCGGTAATGTTCTGCGAGTGTTGCCTTTCCATTCAACCACAAAAAAGTGGTTAAATTGCAAATTAAGACAACCCTGACATCTAGACCAAACATGACTCGTATGCCTCAAACACAAACATTAGAATGCCCAAATGCCAACACAATGCCTGTACAACTCCCTTTCATTCCCAATGTATGAATACCAAAATATGCACATCCCATTCAAAATTGCACTCTCTCACACAGTGTTAACTCCCAAATTAGAAGTTGTTTGGTTGTAAATGTCATGCATTTGAATGTGATCGTGCAGTTCTATCACAGTCTTGTCTGGTAGGTTTTATAGAGTTTTGTGTCTCATTAGGCATTGCTGTTAATTTGGAATTTGCCACTGCATGAATTGACAAAGTATAAATTGTCTTTTTCTCCGTAGGAAGTAACTGCTAGCAGTCGCCATTATGTTGACAGATTATTTGATCCTGATCCCCAGAAAGTCCTGCAAGGTGTCATGTAAGTAATATGAACTTGAGTTTGAAGTTCTATCATTAGTAGTCTAGGTTTGCTTGAAACCCAGCAGCTTTGCACTTGAAGGGAAAGAAAGAGGTACTCTGCAAATTTCTACATGAATTTATTTTGGAAAGTATTACATGGATCGAATACAAACACACAATCACGTTTTAGTATATTATCACTTTGTAGTGCATACTGTTGGTAGCAGAGCCTCACAATCACCAGAAGAGTAGCACGTGCCCTCCTTTCAGGTCTGATCGGAATTCTGTCCTTATTCCATCACCACAGCAGATATGTCCAACCCCTGCTTCAACAGTCTTCCCTTTCTAGTACGTATAGAACATTGTATTGACCTTCTGACTCAGCCTCAACACAGGGAAGCCCTCTCTCAACTTGCTCAGGCAGAATCTGTTTTTTCTCTTCCTCTAGCCTAGCATCAGTAGTAGTAGGGAGAAGGTGTTGATAGAAAGATTTTGAAGGAGAACTTTCAGGGTTTGTTGACTGGTGCTATAAGGTTGTTTCCTGTCTCCACTTGGGTCCACAAATTCTTCATCCCTCCACCTTTACACAGCAACACTGCGAAAAAGTCCTTGAGCTGCCCAGGACTGACTTCCTGTGACAGGCTGTCTCCTTGCCTTTCTATTGTCTCTTCCTGGATGATGTTAACTGGGTTTACTAGAAGATATGAAAGGACCAGGTATTCAGAGGGCCAGGAGACATATAAGGGATGGGGGGATGTCTCATACTGCCAGTGGACAGCTTGTTTTTCCATGTGTCCCAGAGTGTGTCTTGGCGCTAATGCCTGGCCCCTCTGTGGATTACTAGCTTGAAAGTCCACAAACACACTACAACACTGCCTCTTGGGTCAGTCTGCTCTTATAGAACTAGAAACACCTCAGGCTCCCATCTGGCTCTTAAGCCTCAAGTTGTTCTCTGTTTAAACAGCATCTCTGACTTGGATCAAGACACCCTTCCCTACCCCAGATCATGAAGTGTAAATGTTACAGATTCTTTGTCCTCACTCAGTATAGAAAAATTAGACTCCATCTCCACTCTCCTTTTCCCCATGCTTGCTTTTTGAGAAGGCCAAGGTCCACAGTCTCACAGATGGTTCCTTCCCAAGCACATCTCATTTTCTAGCCAAGTTTGGCCATAAGTCTCTAAGGAGAAATTGTCTAAAAAGAAGCAAAAATTGCAGTCAGCCTCTTCAGATAACTCAACTAATCATCGAAAGCATTTCCCTAGATCAGAGGCATCGGACTCATTCTGTGGTGAGGACTTCATTACCTTTTCACTCAGGCTGTGGGCTGGGAATAAAATTCATTGGCAAGAAGTGAATCTTACAGTCTAGTCTGACTGCAGAATGTACTCTTCAGTTAGTGAAGTTAAATATTGCATTAAAGACAATTTAAATAAATGCATTTTGTTTCCTCCCTTTTTGTCAAATTAGCTCTTTGTTCCCACTGTAGACAGTCCTCCCCACACCCCTACTCCTTCTATCAACTTTTCTTGTCTCAATCCTATGTTCTGGACACTGCATCCTGCCTCTTTCTCACTGCACTCCTCCCCATGGTACTTATATGCATTCCTTTCTCACCCACCCTTCCCCTTTAGGACTTGGGGTCTCACCTCTTGCTTTCCCCCACCTTTTGGGCACTAGTGCTGTGGGGTGCAGCAGGGGACAATTCTCCCCTGAACTGTTTGCTTCAAACAGCCAGTTCTTCTGAGCCTGTTGCTGTGGGCCTTGGCAGCAACATGTGAGGGAGAAGCTTCAAGGAAGAGACTGCCTTGAAATTAGAGCAGTAGCCTCTGGGTGGTGGAGGCAGCCAATACTTTTAACATTTTTAAATCCACAGGTCCAGGTAACTTGTATCCAAGAGGTTTTTAAAAAAGAGCTGGTTGAAGATCTTGCTTGAGAATTGATGTTCATTTTCAAAAGGTCTTGGAATACTGGAAAAGTTCCAGAAGACTGGAAGAAAGCTAATTTGCCAATATTTTAAAAGAGTAAACGGGATGACCTGTGTAATTATAGGCCTGTCAGTCTGACATCAACCCCGAACAAGATAATGGAGCAGTTGATGTGGGATGAATAAAGACTAAAGGGAGGGTAATATAGTTAATGCCAATCAACGTGGGTTTATGGACAATAAATCCTGTTAAACTAACTTGATATCTCTTGTTGATGAGATAAGTTTGATTGAGAAGGGTAACATGTTGATGCAATATACTTACCTCTGGAGCATAGACCAGCCCTAAGTCGATGTAAGGCAGCTTACGTTGACCTAACTCTCTAGGTGTCTACACTACAATGGTGCTCCCGCTGATGTAAGTCGCCCACTACATCGACCTAGTAACTCCACTTCCACTTTCCCCCTCCCCGCCCAATCCCTTACCAGGAGACTGTCAGTCTTGGGTTCTTCTCTGCCCCCATTCCCCAGTCCCTCACTGGGGGGCTGTTGGGCTCTCCTTCCCCTCCCTCCCTCAAATCCCTCACTGGGGGACAGCAGGGCTCCAGACTGGCAGCCCCAGAAGCGGGGCTAGTGCTCTGGGCTGTGAGGGGCTGTCAGCGCCCCACAATGCCTCTCTTCAGTTGGTGGAAGAGCTCCTGGTGAGGACCCGCACTGCCAACAGAAGGAGCCACTGTGGACATGAAAGCTGCTGTAATTACTGCGGTGGCTATATGTCGACTTGTCTTCATTTTGATGTGTAGACAAGGCCTTAGACTTCTGTGAGGCATTTGACTTGGTACCGCACAACATGTTAATTAAAAAAAGAACGATATCTAATTAACATGGCACATATTAAATGGATTAAAAACTGGCTAACTGATAGGTCTCTAAATATAATTGTAAACAGGGAATCATCATGGAGGGGGTGTGTTTTTACTAGGTTCCCACAGGGTTTTTGACCCTATACTATTAAACATTTTTATTAATGACCTGGAAGAAAACATAAAATTATCATTGATAGTTTGCAGGTGACCCAACAAATGGGGGAGTGGTAAATAATAAAGAGGATAGGTCATTGATACAGGGTGATCTGGATTGCTTGGTAAGCAGGCGCAAGCAAACAATATGCTTTTTAATATGGTTAAATGTAAACATATACATCTAGGAACAAAGAATGTAGGCTACTCTTACAGAATGGGAGACTCTATCCTGGGAAACAGTGACTCTGAAAAGGATTGGGGATATTGATGGATAATCAAGCTGAACATGAGGAGCTCCCAGTAGGACACTGTGCCAAATGAGCCAATGCATAAACAGGGGAATCTCGAGTAGGAGTAGAGAGGTTATATTGCCTCTGTAGTTGGCACTGGTGTGACTGCTGCTGCGATACTGTGTCCAGTTCTGTTTTCCACAATTCTGGAAGGATGTTGATAAATTAGAGAGGTTCAGAGAAGAGCCTCAAGAATGATGAAAGGATTAGAAAATATGCCTTATAGTGACAGACTGAAGGAGCTCAATCTGTTTAGCTGAACAAAGAGCATAAGGGGTGACTTGATTACAGTCTATAATTATCTAGATGGGTAACAAATATTTGATAATAGGCTCTTCAGTCTAGCAGAGAAATGTATAACACAACCCAATGGCTGAAAGTTGAAGCTAGACAAATTCAGGCTTGAAATAAGGTATAAATTAACAGTGAGTAGTTAATCAGTGGAACAGTTTATCAAGGGTTATGGTGGATTCAACATAACTGGTAATTCTTAAATCAAGATTGGATGTTTTTCTAAAATATATGCTCTAAGAATTATTTTGGGGAAATTCTATGGTTTGTGTTACACAGGAGGTCAGACTACATGATCACAGTAGTCCCTTTTGGCTTTGGAATTTATGAAGAAGATATGCTGAGCAGTTGCAGCAGCCACAGGCCTCAGTGAGATTTGTGTGTCCACTAGGGACATAGGAGCTGTGTGTGAGTGGAGCATAGGGTGACCAGATGTCCTGATTTTATAAGGACAGTCCTGATATATGGGGCTTTGTCTTATATAAGTGCCTATTACCCCTCAGCCCCTGTCCTGATGGATCACACTTACTGTCTGGTCACCCTAGTGGAGCATGCTCATTGCAGGCAGGTTCTTTGGAGAACAGAGCTGCCAGCCTCTAACAAAGCTCTGAGCATCTGCATATAACTTGGTCAAATTTGGGTGGATTTTTCACAGGGAAAGCAAAAGCCAGGTACATCTGATACTAATGCAAACACCACCAAATTTCAAGTCCATGTTCCAAAGCCTGTAGGTGCTAATGCTTCTGAATTAAACTTGGGAAACTTTTTTTAGCACAGGTAAAATGTGTATTTCCCTTCATTCTTGGATATGACTGAACAACTTTTGCTGACGCTTTCCAAAATGTCAACCAGAGGCAGGCATATATATATATTTTCCTTGTTTTTCCCTGGCTTTTGGGGGGCGGAAATCAGGAAGAGATGAAAACACTAATCTTTCTGTTGACCTTGCTTAAATAGCGGTATAGAGAAAAGCAAACACAAACTGACAAGCAAATCCAATTAAAATTGTGTCTGTAAATATATAATTCCATGGATTGCACTGTAACTCTAATCTTGGTGGAAACTGTTTAGTGCACCTGTTGCGAATATTGTTTTCTTAACACTAACTCTTTCTTAGTTGGCATGGTGACTAGACTTCAGTTAGGAACACATACACATGCTCTCACACACTTAATCTTCTAAAGTTTATTTTAATGTGTGGTTTTTTTTTTAAAGGCACTTGAATTGTTTTGCTCTTATCTAAATCCCCCCCAAAAGGTCCAACATGGGAATGCTTTGGCTGTAAAGGGATAATTTATTGAAAAAACTGTGAGTGAGTGAAAATAGAGGGCCTTAATGGCAGTCTGAACATTGCTTTGGATAGAGCACTCTCTAATAGTGAACACTGAAGATGAGAAACCATTTGAAAAACGTTGGGGTACAGTTTTACTTAATCTGACTACTGAAAGGTTAGAGTTGTGAAATGCATGAACTGAACTTAGAGGTCTTGTGTGTCTTTCTGCTAGTTAGAAGGGTTTTGAATAGTCAGATGAATTTTTTATGCTTTCTGCATTTGCAAAGTCTAAGCTCATTTAAATCTTGATACAGTTTTAGAGAAGCTAAGAAATTTGTTCTATTGAGTTGTCTGTAAGCTGGTAATGTAACAGACTGCTGGTCTTCCCTGAAACTCATTGAGAATCATGTGTATCATAAAAGCAACTAATGTAAAAAATCCAAGTGGGTGCTTTGTGGTTTTTAGTATACAAAGTAACTTTCTGCACCATATTAGATTGCAAACTAAGCATTTCAACAGGAGCTTGGCTGGGATGTAGAACTGTTATATTAGACAGCTACCTCTTGTTTGGAGTAGTCCTGCCTTCTTATCCTAGGTATTATCTAACCCCCACTACCATACAATCTGAGCACCTTACAGTCTCTTAATGTATTTATTCTCATAACATCCCTGTGAGGTAGGAAAGTGCTGTTGTCTCCACTCTACTGCTGGGGAACCTGAGGCATAGAGGCTGTTGTTTGCAGTGTTGTTGTAGCCGTGTTGATCCCAGGATATGAGACACACAAAGTGGGTGAGATAATATCTTTTATTGGACCACCTTCCGTTGCTGGAAGACCTGAGGTCTTCAAGCTTCTTTTCCACCAATAGAAGTTGGTCCTACAAAAGATATTATCTCACCCACCTTGTCTCTTGCATACAGGTTGTAACCTTCACTAAGGTTATAGAGGAAGCCTGTGGCCGACCACGGAGTTGAACGCTTGTCTCCAGGGTCCCAGGCTTGCACCCTAATCACTGGACTATCCTTCCTCTCCTCCTTCCTCTTCCCCTTGGTAAGAAGTGACTTTTCCTTGCTCCCATCAGAACAGTGATTATGATTTCACATTACTGAGGTTTAATGTTTTACCCACAGCTGACTTATTTTAGATGCTGGATGAAGTGGGTGGGTATGATCAAGTGGTCCATCTGACTTCATCAGTAATGACTCACTTCCACATGTGATTCTAACGTGAAGTGGTGTGGGTTTTTGCTCATTTGAATGAGTTGGGGCATAGTGGAAACCTGAAGATCTGGGTTTTGTGGCCAAAGATGTTGGAAAATATTGTGTCCTGAAGCAGTGTTCAGCCATGTAGGTGCAGCATGAGATCTGAAAGACTTTGATAGAATCTGTGGAAACAGGGCTCAATTCTATAAAATTTACTTAGTACCTCAGCATAATTTACCAGGGTTTGTTTTTCTTTCTGGATTTACAGAGATATGAAAAATGCTGTAATTGGAAACAACAAACAAAAAGCGAACTTGATTGTTTTGGGAGCAGTTCCAAGGTATGTCCTCTGCTACTCTCCTTTTCACTGATTCACAATAGGTTGGGGATAAAGATCTCTACATCACAGGCACTGCTTTTGACCTGATTTTGAAAGCTGTAGTTGACTGATTACTTTCCCTAATGTAACTTTGAGAGACTTGGAATATCTAACTTCATGTATTACAGAACAGGTGATTGAGTAATTATGCTTTTCATTTGGAATGTTAAGGAATTCATTAAAGCAGCCTTGGCATATTGTTATGAAAACCTACCAGCCTAAGTACAAAATCTAATTTCCAACTTTTACAACATTGATGATAGATAAGTGATTATATTTTACTCCCATGCTGTAGCAAATTACTTGGTGAGATGGCTAGCAGAATTTTGCAATTTTACATTAAAGGTACCATTCTAAAGCAATAATGTAATAAACACAAATATAACCTTAGCTTCTGTCCCTTATCCAGTTCAGAGAATAACAAAAATAAAGAAATAATTTCACAGTATCACCAACTTATTGCTTCAGCAAGTGTTAATGCTTCCTGGTTCCACTGGTGCAAATTAATGGGATGCTTCTTTTGTGCTTTTCTGGTATCCAATGAGAAATTGTCATTTTGTGACTCTTCCCTTCCCCTCCACAAGGCTTGGCTGTCATTCAGCCTTTAGCTGCAGCAAGGTAACAGGAGGGGGAATATGTGGAAGAACAGAGTGCACCAATTGTACTGTCATTGTGCAGCCCACTCTTGGTCCCAACTCAGGTCCCGGTCCCCCCTCCTGAGGCAGGTTCTGGTGGCTCATGAAAGAGTCGTTTGCGTTAACAGGATCTATCTGCTCTTCCCTGGCAGGATGGTGAGCTTGTGGGGTGACGGTAGTTTTCCAGATTCCCCAGGAGTTTACACTGATGAAAAGGCTCTCCAAAACCTGGTGAACTTTCCCTTTTCCTTCCCTCCTTACCAAATGCAAATAGCATAAAGGAAGACCCCCCAAAAAGATGCCCCCGGGGTTCTCCCTGTGGCGGAGCACTCTTCCTCTTGACCCTTCTAACAGGTGTATCTATTCTTCAGTTTTTGAATCTGGCTTTCCTTCAAACTGAGCAGAACTTACAAGCCTTTGTTTGCCCCGTATCTTCCCATCCTCTGCTATTGCTGTGGCTACAGAGAATGAGGAGATCCCCCTTCTTCTGAGCCTGATACTGAATTCCAGAGTCTGTATCCCAAATTCCAGAGTCTGCCAAGATCCTCAATGTCATGAAAATATGTTGTGAGGATCCTAAAGATTCATCCTGTAACTAGAAAAAGATTCTCCATTTATCTTGATACACCTGTAGGGAAAAATCCTTGCCTGTCTTCATTTTGTACTCCTGGGGGCATTCTGCGCTAAAAAAATAAAAATTCTGCACACTATATTTTAAAATTTTGCAGATTTTATTTGTCAAAATAATACTACATAATCATGCCAGTTTAAATTATTTTGGTAATTTATTTCAAAATAGCTGTTAGCAAGTATGTCTGTAACAATATATACACACACTCTCTCGCTCGCTTGCTCGCTCTCTCTCTCTTTTCCCCCCATTCTCCCAGGAGTAGAGAGTTAAAGAAACCCCTATGACAACCTAGTTCCTCTTTCTCTGTCCCCTTCCACTCCACCAGGGCCCAGCCAGGGGGCCAGACACCCACAGCCCCTCCCCCTAAGAGCCCAGCCACGGAGCTCCCCCCCCGACAATATGCCCAACCTCCCTGCCCTCAGAGCCCAGTCATGGGGGGCCCCCGTTGCCCAGACACCTGCCCCCTCTCCCCCCCCCTCCCCAGAGCCCAGCCGTGGCTCCACCAGCCCAGACACCGGCCCCCCTCTACCCCAGAGCCCAGGGATCCAGAGGGAGAAACAGCCTGATGCTTGGTCCCAGGCTTTCATGGAGTTTCCTGCGTGCTGCCGTCTCCTTCCCTCAGGGGAAGCTGGGAACTGCAGCTGCCAGGAACCCTCTAGTTCAGGGGATCTCAAACTGGGGGTCAGGACCCCTCAGGGGGTCGCGAGGTTATTACATGGGGTGTCGCGAGTTGTCAGCCTCCACCCAAAACCCCACTTTGCCTCCAGCATTTATAATGGTGTTAAATACATTAAAAAGTGTTTTTAATTTATAAGGAGGGTCGAACTCAGAGACTTGCTATGTGAAAGGGGTCACCAGTACAAAACTTTGAGAACCACAGCTCTAGTTCTCTCCCCCTCCCCCCAGCAGTGTCTTCTATATGTGAGCTGGGCTCTGCCGGGTCCAGTGGCCCCTAGTGGCGGCCAGCAGCGCTGCAGCCAATTTCTGTGGGGGAAAGCAAAAAGAACGAGGAGTACTTGTGGCACCTTAGAGACTAACAAATTTATTTGAGCATAAGCTTTCGTGGGCTAAAACCCACTTCATACAGACTAACACGGCTTCCACTTTGAAACCTGTGGGAGAAAGGAAATTCTGTGCGCACAACATTCATTTCTGCAAAATTCTGCATTGCGTGGTGGTGCAGAATTCCCCAAGGAGTAATTTTGGTAAAGGTAATGCTGGGAAGTATCATATATTAAGGATTTTAGGGCCATGTTTATTAATAGATATAAGTTGGACTGGGAGACCCCTGGGAAGACTTTTCTCCCTGGCTGGATCATTTAATGACAGTGTCCCCCAAATAATCCTCTGTCCCTTTAGAGGCTGATATAATCACCCCAGGGCCTCTTAGACAGGGATAAATCAGATCACAGAATACTACTTGGAAGACTCGTTTTGCTTCCTATAATGTGGTAGTGAAATTTAGGTAAAAAAAAAAAAGAATGAATGAATTCCAAATCAAAGTCCCCAATGAATCTTTACAGTCCAGTTCCTTTAGGAAATCCAGCCAGCAGGCCAGGCCTTCCCAGAGTAGGGGTCAGAATAAGCATCCCCTTAATGTCAGTTCACTCTGTTCAGTAGGGTAAATTAAGGAGCTGATTTCAAACCTCCCCCCCTCCCCCCCCCCCCCCCCCAAATTGGACTGCAGTTACTCAAGGCAAATTGATTCTCTCCATAGTGACATGGGGGGTATGTTACAGAATTCTTCTCTCCCTCCCACACTGGATAGCCAGGTAGAAGAATTCTGTAACATACCCCTCATGTCACTATGGAGAGAATCAATTTGCCCATAGTATATATAAATAAAATCTCCCCAGCCTCTTCTTTCCTCAATGTAATTATTTTCTGTCCCTTTCCCTGTTCTTCCCTAAGCATTCTTTTGGCAAGTTTTCAATTTATCTTCTTGACAAAGGAGCCACTTACGAATTCTCCCATCCTGATTATTTCTTAGGAGCATCCTTAGCTTTTTTCCATTTCTCAAAAAACAAGGGGGACACTCATCTAAAACTACAAAACTAGTTAGTTCATTAGTCCATTGTCAAAAATTAAAATGGAATCTCATGGGTCCCCCTGTCACTCCTCAGACCAAGGGTTTTTCTGGTGAATATAGAGGTGCAAAATACTTTTCTTCAGAACTGTATACCACCAAAAGTTCCAGCTGGAGTAGCTCATTAATTTTGTGCACATATAGGAAATGGTCAAGGTGAGATCACTTGCCTCTCTACTGGGCCTTGTTGTTTCTTGTCAAGGTTCCCCCACTCCTCTCCTCCCCCAGTCCAGTTACACTGCAAATCTTTAGAGCAGATTTTACTGTGTTTTGGGATGCAGTTGGAGATGCTGGTGCATCCGTAGTCTCAGTGAAGAGATGCTCCAAACAGTGGGTTGGCCAGATACGAATGGGACGCCCCTACAAAATCTTCTTGGGATGTATCTGACCATAGATGATAGTTTTATATGATGTGGGGAAAGTGCTTAGTTTGAAAACTACACAAGGTGTCTGGTACCTAATGGAAAGAAATTTATATGTTGTTATTGTGGAACAGATCCACGTTGGCTTTCAGAAACAAATCTTAGTTGTCATCTTCTAAAGACAGACTGCACAGCAATAGCAGCCTGTGTGAACTGCTCCTGCTTAAACAAAGCAGAAAAACCATGCTTCTTGGTGGAAAGAAACCTTAAAGTTCTTCTTCGAGTGATTGCTCATGTGCATTCCAATAGGTGTATGTGTGTGTGTGCTGTATGCATAATCGTCTGAAGGTTTTTCCCCTAGCGGTACCCGTTGGGTCAGCTGTGGAGACCCCTGGAGTGGCGCCTTTATGGCAGTGTATATAGGTCCCTGCCACCTGCTCAGTTCCTTCTTACCACCAGTGATGGTCGTTGGAGCAGCTGAGTCTCTTGTATTCACAGGTGCCTACCTAGTGGTTCCCTTTTCTTAGTTGTTAGTTCATTATATAGTAGTTTGTAGTTAGTTGGACTTACTTCGGGGGGCTTCCCCCCGCCCTAGTTTCCCCAGGCACCGGGGCATGCCTCGGTTGCAGGGGTTTAAGGCGTGCAAGAGATGTGCAAAACTTAAGCCCACAGGCGATCCGCACGCTGCCTGTCTTAAGTGTTTAGGAGAGGGCCATCAGACAAATAACTGTCCAATTTGCAGGAGCTTTAGACCCAGGACTAAGAGAGAGCGGGACTATGCTCTCCTCCTGATGCAGTTGGCCTTCCGCCTACAGCCGGCACCGGAAGCAGCACCGGCATCATCGGTGGGATGTCCCGGCACTGAGGAAGGACTCCTCTAAAGATCACCAGCACCGCTCCCTGACTCGTAAGGCCAGTGCTACCAGGCGGCACCGCTCACAGTCCCCGGTGCCGCATAAGAAAAAGAAGGTGGACGGGTCGTTCCCCCATTAAGAAGCTACGAGGGGACTCCAGCAGGATGTGTCCTCTGGTGGGACACCCATGGCCTGGGCCCAATTGGAGGCCTGTTGAATCTGGTGCTAGTGGACTCCCCAACTTGGGAGGATTTGGAGGAAGAACTCGACCTTCCCTCCACGCCGGATACCTACGAGGCAGCGCGGGACCTCATTGCCACGACGGCGCACAACCTTCGGTGGCACCGGCTGCAGTGTCTATCCCAGCGCCGCATGTGGCTCCGGCACTCTTTG